ATTCAGAAGATCGAAATATATATATTCTAAAAGTTTGATGTGAATGAAGTAGCTTGTTGTTAATATACTTTTATTTTATTTTATGTTTATATATCGATTCGTGTAGACTTCGTTCTCTGTTTCTATGAATATAAAAATAATGTAATTTTGATTGGTTGATTTATCACGGGCAATTATGGGTAGATCTACAAACATTAACCAATCAGATAAATATCTTCCTATGAGTAAAGATCAGGGAATTGTGAAACAGAGGTTATTCTCGATGAAAATGAAAATGTCAACGTGTTCAAAAAAACGCGACGCTACCGAATTGTACGTAGATAATGATGTTGATACAGGAAAAGATACAACTGGCACACCCAGGAAACATTTTAGGACCGTTGATAATATACAGGATGAACTGTCTCAAACTCCTGATATTGATGACTCAATTGTTGAATCAAATGAGATTTCAGATGAGATTAAGATTGACAACCTAATTTCAACTGAATCAAGTGAAGCTGTTTCTACTGTACAAAAATCACCCGATGATAGAACTGATGTAGAAACTAGTATGGAAAAAAAATCCGAAGATTTCGATAAAGTTCAAACGACAAAGCCAACGACAACTGCCAAAAGTTCTGGTATATTTGGTACCAGAATTTTTGGCAGTTCCGTTTCTAATTCAACACATAAGGTACACTCATTAATGGATACATAAATTATTTACGCATATTATTTCCTTTTTGTTATAAATAGTAATCAATCAGCCTTAATTTATTTGTAGCCAGTTGGCTTTTCTATTTCCCCGCCACCTTCAAGCATATTTGGATCTAAGTATACCGGTACAGGCAAATTTGGATCAAGATCGGAAGGTTCATATGGATCTTCCACATCACAATCCATCTTTGACGAACCATCACGTAACGATGGGGATGATGATGATAAAAACGATACAGAAGAAGTGCCTTTTGGAACTGGTGCAAGGCCTTTATTACAAGAACAAGAAGGTCAGTTAAATTTTAAATTCGCTCAGTCTGCACAAAATGTTAATAATAATTTTCTTAGTAGTATTTACTGGAGAAGAGGAAGAGATTACTCGACACACTGTTAGAGCGAAATTATATTGTATGGATCGTGAGCGTCAATGGAAAGAACGAGGGGTCGGAATGTTAAAACTTAATTATCCAAAGGATTGTGAAAAATCACCTCGACTAAGTTTGTTTTTTCATTGCATTGTTATATATTATATTATTATACTAAAATGTTTATTTCAAGTACTATTATTATACTGCAATTTAGTCATGCGTGCAGATGGTGTACTGCGAGTGATTTTGAATATTGCTCTATTTCATGGAATGAGTGTCGAACGGTCACAAGAAAAATTTGTGAGAATTGTCGCATTTGAGGGAACCAGTACTGCTCCAGTTCATTTTGCAATAAAGGTTTGTTTGAAATTACCTACTAAAATAATTATGATTTTTTTTTCTTATTTGAATTTATTTTTGATAGCTTCCTAACACGAATGTTGCGGATGATTTATATGATGCTCTACTAGAGGCAATACCCAAAGATGGTAAAAGTTAGTTTAGGTTTGGTTTAGGTTATAAACCTTTAGGTTTCAAATTAAAAACCTAAGAACCAGGTTTTTATAAGTTCCAAATTTAAGTTAAACATGGCTTTGTTCAGAACCAAAATTTTCAGTATTTTGCAAGACATAAAAAAAATAAAAGTATATTAACAACAAGCTACTTCATTCACATCAAACTTTTAGAATATATATATTTCGATCTTCTGAAT